AGAAAAAACTACGTTTAGACAAGACATGCATTTACCTGCATTCTAAGTATTCTTCACTCCCTTACATAGATCCAGAATTCTGTCTGGAGTCATTTTCCTTCTCTTAAAGCTTTTCGTTTAACATATCTGAAATTCAAGGTCATTCTCTTACACACAGATAGAATCAAGGCCATCCCAGGCTACATGCGACTTCCTATCCCAAGTGTGGATACATTTGTGTTCTGATCTACCATTTCTCCCACTATGTCCCTTCCTGTCCTGCGCTGGCTAATCACCACTGTGCTAGGAGGGGCTTTCAACAGTCTGCAACAACCCATAGAGATGTCTTCTGTTGCTGCCTGGTTTTCCCTAAGGACCCAGTCTTGCTCAACTCAAGAGAGCTCTCCCTGTTTTGTCCTGAAAGGATGTACCTGCTGCGACCTGGGGCAGTCACGGGCCTTACAACATTTCTTTCTTTCACTGCCCATGTTGCCTGTTGTCCAAAGTCTCATTGCTGCAATCGCTCACAATGTCCGGGTCTCTAATTGTGTTAAAAAGAAGAACCCCACTTTCTGATATCCAACCTTGGCTGAAAGCAAAAGTATCCATTGAGTTTTCTAGAACGTAAGCCTGCTTGAAATACAATGGCAAGCCACTGAGGGTTTGAATTTTAGAATGGTCACCCTTGATATAGGCCAGAGAAAACTCCTAGGAAAACATATTCCATGACAAATCTCCGGGAGAAGTCCAAATACTAATAAGATGAGGCTTTTGTGGCCATTTTCCTGGAAGTGCCATCATGTACTCTGGCTCTCGGGCCAAAGGTGCATTTCTAATGGGATGTGCATATACATCCCTTGTCTACATGAATAACGAGTCATCCTGAGTCCCAAATGTGGCCCGCTAAAAATCTAACTTACCTGTTCAGTTATATACCAGAAGTGCCCATCAGGTCAGTGCAGGCTTCCAGGACACCAACATCCTGGATTCACACCATGGGTTCACCATGAATTAGAAGTGGGGTCTTGGTGCAAGACCTCTAGCATGCTCACTAGCTATGTCTATGATATGGTTGTAAAACTAGAGTGACCTCGAGAAAGCCTTTGAGTTGCCATAACCTTTAATAGTGTTGCTGTTCTTTCCACTGTAGGCACGCCTGGATCGAGAAAAGGATCAGAGATCACAGGAAAGTATATGTGGTTGCTCTAAGACCCCTGATTTTCAAAGTGGACACTGAGACAGTGGGCTCCCTGGAGCATAGCACCAACCTCATAAGCAGACACAGATAAGGCCACCTAACCCAGCCATCAGGGACCAGCCACAGGCCAGAACAGCATATGGGGCATGAAGTGTTCCTTGGCTACTTCGTATGCATCTGAGACCTTGGGCAAGTTAAGTCTCTCTCCAAGTTAAGTCCACTGGCCCTCCCAGGGAGTCTGGATCCATTCCCCATAGCCACATGCTGATAGAACTCCTGAACGCTGTTAGTAAAAATGTGTATGCTTACAGAGAAGTTTACTCAGAAGGAAAAAAGAATCAACCTGGCATGATGCTGAAAGCCATGGTGCCTTTAGTCTATAGATTATAAAGGAAAGTCCACAAATTGTAAACCTGCCCAGGGCACATCCTCATCACTTCAAGATGACTGGGTGATATCTGAAAGTTTGGAAATATTTAAAATGCATAGTCATGTACATCTCTGTACACCAACAAAAGCAATTCTATCAAATTAGGAAATAGTGGATTTAAAAGTCAAAATTCAGACGCATTCTTAAAACCAAATGGTTAAAAAATAAGTAAAGATAAAGGCTAATGTGGAGATAACAAGGAAATGCAAATGAGATGAGGCAGAACTGAGTAGAAAGAAACACAGGAAACAGCAGAGATAGATATTCTTATATGTTAAAGTCAGTAAGAACCTTAAACAGCCACAGGCACCAGAAATGGCCATTAATTAGGGAAAGGAGAAGAAATCAAGAGAATCTTTTAAAACACATTACAAGGCTGCGGGGATGCCTCAGTGGTTAGGAGCACTGCTTGTTCTTGCAGAGACCTGGGATTCAGTTTCCAGCAGTCATGTGGTTGCTCAGAACTGTAACTTCAATTCCAGGGGATCTGGCACCAACCTCTGGAGTCCTTGGGCACCAGGCACATACACACACAGTGTACATACATACATACATGCATACAAACAGGCAAAACAGTCATACACATAAAGTAAAAAAATGAATCTTTTTCTAAAGTATGAATACTCAGAAATGCTAAGGATTCCTCTTTCAAAATAAAAAGCTGTAACAGGGAGCTATAACTCGTGCAGATACAGATGGTATGGACTCACATCTAAACACCATAAATCTTACATCACCAATTATTTGTCAGCATCACCTATATACTTCATCACAACCAAAAAAATTTTCATCTTAAAGCATAAATATTTTGTTTATTTTTAAAGATTTATTTTTATCTTTCAGATTATGTATATGCTCATGTATTTAGTGTGGTTTTGTGCATGGGCCGTACAGTGTCTTCAAAGGCCGGAAGGTATCAGAGCTGGGGTTACAGCTGGTTGTGAGCCACCCTGTATGGGTGCTGGAAACTGAACTTGGATCCTCTGCAAAAGCAATAAGGAGCTTTAAAAACTGAGTCATCGCTCCAGCTTCCTAAAACAGAGGATTTTAGAGAGCTCTACTTCATCCTAAAACAATCATAAGAAATAAAGTTAAGATTTTAGAGAGCTCTATTTTATCCTAAAACAATCATGGGAAATAACGCTGAAAGATACACTTCAGTCTTAAAGAAAAGTGAAGACTAAGAAATTCATAACAAAATTACCCACATATCAGACACTAATGCAAACAAGCCTATTTCAATCCAAACCTCTGCACAAAGAAACTGACAGTGAAACAAAATACAGAAGTAAAACAAAGAGTAAGAGCAGTGACTTAATAAGTAGAGACAGGATTACTATGAAAAAGGGAGATTAAATCCTAGCTGAAATGAGTGAAAAACAGAGATGACAGATGACAAGGAGGTTAAATACAATGCTTTCTGGAAAAGCAAGTGACAGCGAACAGGAAGATATCACAACAAAGCAAAAACCTAAGGCAGGGGAACAAGAAATTCATGCGCTTGTCTACTAAGCATGTTTGCAGGCCTTAAGGGTTTGGTATCTGCGTTGTTGCAGAGTGCAGCCTGCCCACTAATGGCTTGTAACTGGCCTGTAAGGAGCCAACAACCCACTGCCGCTCTAGCATTACAGAGCATGTAAATCTGGACCCCTCAGCATTAACTTCACAAACCATTATAACTCTACAGTGACATTACACCAAGAAGTACTGCACCAAACTCACAGTCAGAGACATGCGAGAAATACTAAAAGCACTTTGGCAAATAGACCTCATTCGAGAAAATACACTGATTGCTCTAGTGTCTGAAGTGAAAACACTAGCCCCTGATGACTGAGCAGGCTGCATGCAGTGGGTGAGGGACCCTTCACAGCCAGGACTCACAGCAAGCAACTCATGAAGAAGCCGAACCATAGGCAAAAAATAAAGCACACATAAAATAAGTCAACCTAATTAATAAGAATTAGAAAATATATGGCCAATCTCATTTGAGATGATGGGATGCTAAAGTTGTTTTAATTAAAGGCTGGACCTTTAAGTAGGGTGTGCTTCCGCCTATCATTCTTGCTGTTGTAGCTGTCAAATACAGTATGCCAAGAAGAACATGTAGTTTTTTTAAATTTTATTATTTATTAAAAATTATTCACTTTGTATCCCAACTGTAGCCCCCTCCCTCAGCCCCTCCCAATCCTGCCCTCCCTTCTTCCCTCTTCTTCCATGCCCCTTAAAGACCTAGAGAGGACTGGCGCTCCACAAGGAGAGCAACAGAACCAAAAAAGTCTGGGCCCAGGGGTCTTTCCTGAGACTGTTACTCCAACCAAGGACCATGCATGGAGATAACCTAGAACCTCTACAGAGGTAGCCCATAGCAGCTCAGTCTCCAAGTGGGATCCTTAGTAAGGGGAACAGGAGCTGTCTCTGACATGAACTCAGTGGCTGGCTCTTTGATCACCTCCCCCCAGGGGAGCCTTACCAGGCCACAGAGGAAGACAATGCAGCCAGTCCTGATGAGACCTGATAGGCTAGGGTCAGATGGAAGGGGAGGAGAACATGTAGTTTTTATGAATACTGGGAGGAAGATACTTTGATTTTTCCAAAATATTTGCAGACATCAAGAAGCAATGGACTGTTCTCTGCACCAGTCACACCATGAAGAAGAATGACTAGACAGTGTGCAATTTGGTAGTTCATAAAACTTGTAGACCAGTGGTTCTCAACCTTCCTGATGCCACAGCCCTTTAATACAGTTCATGTTGTGGTGACACCCAACCATAAAATTATTTTCGCTGCTACCTCAAAACTGTAATGTTGCTGCTCTTATGAATCACAATGTAAATATCTGATGTGCAGGATATCTGATAATGCAACCCCTAGGAAAGGTTGGTTCCACCCCCAAAGGGTTGCAATGTAGAGCCACTGGTGTAGAACCGGAAAGGAGAAGCGAAGGCGCCCCAGATTTAGCTTCACATTTGAGTCATGTCAGACATTTCCAGTTTCACTGTCTATGCAGCTGTACACTATTCCTCCACCCACGCCTGCCATTTGCAGTTTGTCTCCACACCATAATCTACTGCCCTTTTAATCCCAGCTCAAGGCTCACCTCTTCTGATTTCTTCTTCTAGGCTAATTCTCTTTAGATACCCTTCCTCTGGAAAGAACGGACAGAAAAGATTGAAAGAAATGGGCAAAAGAAAAGCTGAGCAGGAAGGCAGTTGGAGAAGAAAGGCTGGGCTAAGGCTAGGCACAGCCTCGCGGGAGCTCTCGCCAAGACCTCAGATCAGCCATAAGGAGTCCACTCACTTTTCTAGCTTCCTCTTTCCCACTACCACCACCCTTCCCTGCCCAACGCTAACCTCTCACACGATCTAACTTACTGGGGGCATCTTCCAATTTCAGAATTAGACATCAAGGATGTCATCGCATTAGAAACCAACACCCGGGTAAGCCCATTCCGCAGACAGAGCTCCGTAGACCCTATACTTCAGGAAACCATGTTTGGCAACCGGAGGGTGGGCCTCTGGGCAAACAAGGCTCCTGAAAACCCTTATGAACGCAAGCTGAAGAGCCTCATGGAGAAGGGTACAGAGCCCAAGATAGAGAGCTCCAAGATGCTGAAGCCAGAGGAGGTGCTGAGCTGCCGGTGAGCACCACTGGGTACATGGGTAGACCCAGGACAGCAGGCTGTGAATGCATGCCTGAACGTGGAGGGGTGAGGAGAGGGACGTAAGGCCATAGACACACACCTGGACACACAGAGGAGCCAGGCCTAGGTCAATAGGCTGTGAACACGTGCCTGGACATGCAGAGGGCCAGTTTCTAGCCTTACCTGCCTCTAGTTGGCAAAGGATTGCTACAAGGCTAAAGCCCTGGGTTTCCCAGCAGTCAGAGACAGTAAAGAAATATTTTCCATTTGCTTCACAACAGAAGCTATAGCAGGCAAAGTTGAAAAACATTTAGCTGAGGAGAAATAGAGGCAACAGGATAATTGCTGGCAGCAATAGAACCATCTTGGGTGAAAGTCGACCTCAAGGCCTAGAAATTGACCAGCCACACTTCCCAGGTCAGTGCTGCCCATTGCTCCTGAAGACTAAGAGATGAAGCAGGGATAGAGCCAATGAGAAGCAACACCAGACCAGCTGCCCATACAGAGCAATGATATGGCTCTAATAGCCCCTTGCTTCACAGTAGGGGGGGGGCTTCTTTCCCAGAGAAGTCAGGAGCACTGGGACAGACAGCTGTGAAGTCACCGGGGAGACATGTAAGACCACAGTGAGACAGCACAATGATGTCGTAAGAAAGAGATGTGTGAAAGCGCCAGTCCACCCACACCACCCTGGCAGGCTACCCTTGAGAAAGGGGGAACTGGAGCCACAAGCCAAAGCAGTAGAGGGGCAGAGCCCAAAAGCCCACAAGCATGGCAGAAAGCCCAGGAATGGCAATACAGCCCCCCTTGTCACCCTTAACTAGCCAGCAGGTGGCCAGTAGCGTCCACCCTCTAATAACACTGGGACCAAGAAGTCAGCAGGGTCGCACACACTGTCATCCCAGTACTCAGGAGCTGAGGCAGGAGGATTGTGTTTGAGGCTTTCTGAGCTACATAATGAGCTCCTGTCTCAACATAAAGAGATAAATGAAGTAATTAAATATAAAGTTGGCTCCAAGGCCAAGGTTGACAGTGAAATGAGGAGCTCTGTCTGGATCCCACAGCACAGATGGGATCAATTTCACTCTTCAGCAGAAGGCAGGATTGCAAGGCTTCAGAAAACACTTTAAATCAATGGCCTTGTTTAACTGTGTATGCGCATTGAAGGAAGGCACATACGCCTGCTCCTGAAGCTCCGCATGTGCACACTTGAGGGCCCCCAGCCTTGGCTCAAATCCTCTGCCTGCAGCAGAACTCGGCTTCCCACATCCCACCCACTTCCACATGGCCACACCCTCACATTAGTCGTGTTCTCTTTCTTCCTGGTGCCGTTTTAATAGAGCCCTCTCAATGCGGTGGCCCACTCTTTACCTGACTGTCACTCTGCAGATGGGCTACCTCGTTCCCCAAATGAGCACCTGTCTTTACATAGCATGGCTTCTGTTAAGTTTCATGCTAGGTGTCATGCTTGACTCGATGAAAATCAGCCTGTTTCCTTTGGAGATACCCCAGCCCCTCCCTCCTCCTTTTCTTCTTCTTTTGTTTTGTTTGTTTGTTTGTTTGTTGAAACAGGGTCTCACTATGTAGCTCTAGCTGTCCCAGAACTCACTATGTAGACCAAGCTGGCTTCAGACTCAGAGAGATCTGTGAGCTGTGGGCCACTACACAGCCCAAAAGCCAACCCCTTTTCAGTGAAAGTCAAATCCCATGGCCCCTTGTCACCTCTCCCTACCTTCTCTTGAAGGTACCTGCGTTTGTCCAAGAACAACATCAAGACCTTGATCAAGCTGTGCAAGGATGCGGGGATGGATGTGGACATCCATCCACACATGGTGGAGAGCGACATAGACTCAAAGACCATATTCAAGAATCAGCATGCCGTATCACTGTAGCTGCACTGCCAGCTGGAGGCTCACCCCATGAGGGCCAGCCACCTTGTAGACCAGCTTCTGTAGACCTCGCCAGGAGAACAAGTCAAATGCATCATCACTTGCAGGTGTCATCTTTGTCCTCGGCTCTACACTACATCACCTGGGGAGTAACTGGGAAGAGAAAGCTTGCTGGACATAGTGGCATTCTCCTGTCTGCCAGCACAGGTAGAGACCAAGGGGATCAAGGGCTCCAGTTCAAAGCCAGATTGGGGCTCCAAGAAGGCCCTGTCTAGGACATCAGAATGGACTGGGGGGAGTACAAAAGTTGTTTGTTTTGTTGTTTGGGTTTTCTGTTTTGGGGATTTTGTTTTGTTTTTGCCTCTCAGAAGAAAACATTTCTTAAGCAAGAAAGTAGGTTTTAAGTCCCCATGGGAAGCTCAGAGAGGAGAAAAAGTCGGACAGCTGTCTGGAGACACATCACTGCCGTATGAGGGACATAACTGTAGGGAACAGGCCCTCATGTAGGCCTGAGGCTGGTGGCTGAAGTTCTCTCTTGCAAGGGCTGACTCCATGACAACACAGATTTTATCATTCACCTTTCCTCACTGGGCGTGCTGCATGGCTTGCTGGATTCCTCTCATGGTCCACTAAAGCCCCACGTCCACCTGCAGAGCTCATCTGGTTGTACAGAAGCTCTGTTGCACGCGCTCTGGGACCTCTGTGAAACCTGAAGTTGCCAGGGGAAAGCTAGTACAGCCCTCACTCCCAGGGAAGTGCACAGGCTGGGTAATCCCTAGAGGGTGCCTGGGATCCTGCTAATCCCAAAGACAGAAGGGTGAGCAGGGAGGAACCCTGGGCACAAAGTGAGGTCAAATCCCTGGAGAGGAGATCTTAGTGTGCTAAAGAAGAAAGGCTTCCCAGAGGAGGTGTCTACTTTAACTGAGAAATAAGAGGGCCCGGATCTGTATGAGAGTGGTACGGGCAGGCAGAGGAAACAGAGCTTGCAGGGCCTCGGGGGCTAGGACAATACAGCAGTTAGGAACCTGTAGTTAAGTGTGGTGGAGGGGACACTGAAGAAAGTCAGGTGTATGGAGGTTGTAAGCCTTGCTTTGCAACTCTCCAGTGGGTACCCACTGTTGGGTGACGGCCCATTACAAGGCTGAGGAATGGTGTGAGTAGGAGCGTGCATGCTCCTGCCTCTGTATGACTCGAACTCTGGAGAGAGGGGAGACTTAAAATGCTCATCAACAGGAATCCATAAGTACCACAATCACACTACAGGAAACTACAGAGGTGGCCCAGCATCTGTGGTGACAAGGGCCAGCCTGACATATCTAAAGATGTGAGGAAGGAGAGGGGTAGGACCGACTGGGCCTGTGGCCTTCCTTCTGGAGTCCCCATGAGAGGGATGGGAGTAGTAGGGGAGACCTCTCCTCTGCCCCCTTGGAGGAAATGTTCATAGAAAGAAAGGAACATCTGGAAGTTAACTGGAAGTTAACATCTGGAATTGTAACAATGAGCTATTGCCATGTAACAATAAAAGCACCCACTTTATACCATCCACTGAGTGGTGGTGCTGTGAGTGGCCTTGGCAGACCTAGGCTGCATGCCTGTGTCTGGGCTCAGTGAGTCAGCTAGGGCAGGTTGGCTCTGGACAGTCCTGCACAGGATGGCTGTTTCTTCTCTAACAGACAAGCCTGGGCTTGTATGTTAATAGAGTGTCTGTGTGTGCTAAGAGGGGGCAAGGCCTTGAGGACACTGCTTGGGACTAGGGCATAATTACATTGTGTTCGAGCTCATGCTTGTCTATAGTGGCCAAAGTGAGCTCAGATTCAAAGGGTTAGACTAACCTGGATCCATAGAAAGAAAGAATAATAAAGTAACCTTGCAAAGGGCCTGGCTGGGTCAGCAAGCATAAGAGACCAGCCACTGTTGGGATTAACAAGAAAGTTAGGAGGCTAAAACCAGGCAATCGTGTTGAGAGCAAATGACGCATTTAACTGGGCATGAGCATCAGGGACAGGTCTCTGGGTGGCGCTTGAGTCATCCTGGGACTAAATGTGGTTTGTCAGGCCAAAGATTAGCTGAGGGTTTGCAGCAAGATGGCCTAGCAATGGATTCTTTTGGGATCAGTTAGATGGGAGTCACTCTGAGACCCTACTGTCTCCCGCAGTCAGCCAGAGACAGACAGGAGAGTGTGGGGAGGGCTTGTTGCAGGAGTATTGACCACAAGGCCTCCTGTTGCAGAGGTCTGGGTGGGGGCTGGGGGGGTTCAAAATCAAGGTAACAATGTGGCTCTAAAGCTCAAAAGTCTGAGGAAAACCTTTCTGCTCTCATTTCCTAAGCCACAGGTGTTCCTGGCAGCAGGCCAGCAAGCCCTGCTTCCACGTCTGTCACATGGCTCACTTCTCTGCGTTTCTGTCTCCTGAGTCATAGCCAATCAGGGCTCACCTGAATGACCCCATCTCAACCTACCAATCTTACGAAGGCGCTATTTTCAAATAAGGTGGTGTTTGAGGATTTCAGCAGATCATAATCCAACCCACAGCATGGAGAGATGGAGGGAGCTGGAGGCACTGTTTCCTCAAGGTCCTCCCGAGCTGGTGGCAGAGCTCCCGCTTGAACCCACACCCACCACCCTCTCTGGCCCTCTATCTCCCACTGGCCTAGCAACTCCTTGTGGCAGAACCACCCGCTGTTTCTCAGTAGAAACCCAGAACCATAATCTCAGGGTGTGGGGGGGAGGGGCTCCAGAACCCCAGGTAGAGAATCCGTGTGCGGTTTTCACTAGTAGTACAGTGGAAGGTTGAACTCACTCCTGCTTGACCTGAGCCACATCCCCAGGAGAGGCTCTGCACCTCTAGGCCCTATTGAGGGCAGTGGGGAGCCATCTTCCAGAGACAGACAAACCTACCAGAAGAGCGAAGCTGCCCCTTCCATGGAGCTCAGCTCAGGCTGGAGGAAGACAGGCTGTGTTTCACCTGTAACTGAGGAGGCTTCATGGATGCCCTGTGAGGCCAGAGGTTTTCCAGGAAGGAGGCCCACAGAGCACATTCAGCTTCCTGATAGCCTGGCCTAACAGCCCACAATGAGTCCAAGCCCACAGTACAGACAGCGCAGAAAAAGAACTACGCCCCAGCCAGCCCCAAGCTGGGCTCAGCATCACCCACACTGCACTGGGTCTTCCCAGGACCTCATAAACTCTGGATTCACCGCAAGCAGGACAGTCGCATCCCTCTCCCCAGAAACGCATATTGGAAACAGAGTCACTGCGTCATGACAATGAGACGACACAGCAGAAGTTAGACACCCTCAGACAGGCCGCTCCAGTATCCATATGGAAATGCATTGACCCTCAGCCCCGCCATAAGCAAAACTCAATTCCAGATGGATGCAGGTGGCAGATGCTTTGAGGACAAGCTTACCAGACACGGTCCATGACCTTAGAGAAGGGAAAAACACGCGCGCGCGCGCGCACGTACACACGCACAACATGTAACAAAATGAAGTATCAAAATGAAAAACTCTGCTCAGCAAAGGGCATCAGTGAGGGTGAAAAATCATCTTCTCCAAGGAGGAAGTGCCTGTCTGACACACACACTCCAGATGATCCATCTCCATGTACATACACATCAAGAAAAGGTCACCAAACTGGAGACAGTCAAAAATCTAGCTAGCGTGAAGACATTTCATGAGAGAGGGTAATTAAGTGACTAGTAAACCTAAAATGTTCAGTCCTCAGGATATACAAACGATAGGGCACAAACGCACAATGTCTACAAATGAAGTGCCACCGCATACCAGGCAGGATGACCACAGAGGACAGTGGCAAGTGCCAGGGGGCTTTATGAAGCAAGCAGAAATTTCATGCGCAGCCCTGGATACCGTAAGCCGGCCAACTACCTGAAAACGTGGCGCATGCTAAGGCCAACTGCAGTGATGCCATGGACCAGTGTTTCCTCTTGGTTCACATTGGCACGCATGGTCACGTGGGCACCAGAAACATGGTAGCTGTTCATAGCATCCTTGTTTGGTGTAACCGAAGGCTGAAATCACGCCTGGGCACCATCAATACAAGGAAAGAACTGAAGTCTGTTCACAGACTGCTACAGAGAAACCAGAACCCATGTAGAAATTGACCAGGTCAAAAAGTACAAAGAGCATCACGCAAAGGTAACAAAACCCAAGGGATTGCACCTTGATTCTCATTTAACACAGCCGCCAGCCCAGTAGCTGAGTGTTAGAAGCCAGGGCAGGATTGCCCTGTGGACTGCAGGAGGGGGGACAGTGAACACTCAATGAGCTGTTCCCTGGGCAGTTTGGGCCTTTTGTGTAGGTGTGCCAAGCTTTAAAGTACACCAGGGCAGGAGAGATGCCTCAGTGGCTAAAGTGTTTGCCCGGCACGCATGAGGGCCTGAGTTCAAATGTCCAGTACCCATGTGAAAGCTGTATGCAGTAGCACATCTGTAATCACGGGACTATTCCTGACCTGGAGACAGGAGAATCCCTGGAAACCCTTGGGTCAGCTAGCCTGGTGTCCATAACAGTGAACAGCAAAAGAGACCATGTCCAAACAACGTGGAAGATGAAAACCCAGGGTTCTCCTCTGACCTCCACACGCATGCGGTGGCATGCCCTGCCTCTCTCTCTCTCTCTCTCTCTCTCTCTCTCTCTCTCTCTCTCACACACACACACACACACACACACACACACATTCGCCTGTCCCCACAGAGTTAAGCCAGTTGTAGAAAAGTATGTCTGCCAACCTGCACTCAGGTGACTAAAGCGGGAAGATTGTGAGTTTAAAGCCAACTGGGGCTACATAGTTAGACCCTGTATCAAACACACAAGAAAAGTGTATGTAAAACAGATTTATACTCTGACTTTTAGTAACAATGTTCTGGTTTTATATTTGAAAATCAAAAGCCTCAACCTTAAAGGCGGTCCCCACCTGCCGGTCCCCACCTGCCCGTCCCCGGTCTTCCTTTCCAAGCATGTTCCCTCTAGAGGCCACCAGGTGGCGCTCGATCCCAGCGCAAGATGCTCTGCTGGAGGCACCCACAGGCGTCCACTCGGCTGCTGACAGAGCCGCAGGCCCATCCGAGGGTGGCTGGACATTCCAGTTGAGCTCAGAGTGGCACACATGCAGCAGTTCACACCCCAGCTGAGGGCCCCTGGGCACGTCACTTCCCTGAGGCTGATTCTTCCCCCAGAATAGGATCAAGTAGGTATTTTAGAACAAGATGGCATCCACGTATACCAACTAGACAGGACTTAACGTGAATGCGGGCAGCGGGCAGGTCTGCCATCACCAAGGGGGACCCTCGTGCCTTGCGGTAGCGGAGTACACGATCCGAGATAAAGCCTACCCTCTGAGACAAGCAGATGGCCCTGGCCTGAGTGTAAAACCGAAAGGTCTATACAGATTTACGGAGAGACACTAACCCCAGGACACATGGGATCTGCAGGGTCCTAGAGGCCATTCATATCTGGCATCATGGATGGCACAACGTGATGGGTAGAAGATGTGAAATACTACAAGTAGCATTCTAGACTTCACGCACACCGTAAGCCTACACACACATCCCAATACAGTAAATTATATGCACAGTAAATTAGATGCCTTAAGATGACCAGAGTGAAGAGGAGAGGGGGAGGGAGGGTGGGAGAGGGCATGGATGAGTGGGCATCCAGTCCAGGGCTCCTGTGAGAAGAAGTCTGACGAAGTTTCTCTAGCAGGTGGTGATCGTCTTCTCTGCTGTGCCCTGGGGTACAGGCAGATTGTGGCTGTCTGCCCTGTGTCAGGCAGGGTGCGCACACAGCAACCCAGAGTAACCGACACAACAGACCAAAACCAAACTCCACCACCTGGAGATGACGTGTCACCCGCCTTCAGCATTTTTCCACACTTGTGAGCAAGAAAGGTGACAACCTCTCCTAGGTTTATGATTGCTGCATCTGGTTTTGTACCCAGTCTTGCTGGGCAGTGGGAAATCCAGGATGTGACCCGGATATAATCCTCACGCCCTGAGGCGGGGCTTGACAGGAGCAGCATCTGACATCAGTCTCAAGGGACTACCAAATTCTGCCAGTCACCATCCAGAGCTGCCTCCAGGACGGCTCCAGGATTCGCCACCGCTGTGACAGTGCGCCTGGGGGCACCACAGTCCTCTCCCGGCAACAAAGGCAGCACCTCCCTGCCACCCCACTCTCTCTCCAGGACTGCTGTCTGTCAGCCAGAGCGCACCTCAAGACGCCTGGCTTCCAGACTCTGGTCTTCTGTGTGCACGTGCCTTCAGCTCTTTGCCTGGGAAAGCAGCTTCGTGCTGCCGCAGCTAGCCAACTTGAAGCTGCTGTCCTGGGGGAAGGCGGGAGAGAGATTCGGGGAACTGAGCACCGTGAATTCGCAGCTTTTAAATTCTTTTCCAAGGCTGTGAACAAAACACAAATTAAAATGGCAACAGATATCCCTCATATCAGCCACGCTCCTGGACAGCTAATTTATCAAGCATACTGATGTTGCTGAGTGGCGGATGTTCCGGGCACTGGCAGC